ATGGGGCTCAACAACAATAAACCATCTCAGTCCATTAATTACCCAACAAAAGGCTGCAGTCAGAATGATAACAAATTCCCACTACAGGCAGCACACTCCACCAATATTCAAAACTCTAAACCTACTCACCATACAAAACATCCATACTTACTACTGCACCTACTACAGTAACACAGAACACTTAACTCTGATATAAACCCTCCCCTCAAACGTCTCCTTACCAACCTCAACAGAACACTTGACCATAACACAAGGCACAGATCACTCTTTGATGTTCCTCATGTCTATCTCACGCTATGCAAAAACTCATTGCACATAAAAGGCCCTAAAATCTGGAATTCATTACCTGTGAATATAAAAGAAACACTGTCTGTTTATAAATTCAAGTCTCTTCTCAAAAATCACTTACTCTCCCACAACTAAATAAATACTGAATAATTGTATCTCATAAATTGTATCTCATAAATGTTTCTCATTATTGTATCTCATAAATGTCTAACCTGTGACCCAATCAAACTTTGTTTTTTTTTAATACATTACCTAACAGAATACTCCATTCTATTGAATGCTCAGCAACACAGTAAATGACCATATGACCTGTCTTTGTAATACTCATTTGTGCTAAATTGTTATCTGTTTAAAATAATATTTTTACCACAGAATATATCATTGCTTAGTTAATCTTAAGTTAATTTTAAGCCTGCCCATAATGCTCTGCATACAAGGGGCTTTGGCATGTTGCACTTTAATAACTGTATTCCTTTGTACTTCTCTGTATCATGTTCAAATTAATAAATAAATAAATAAATAAGTGCAAACAGGGGACACTTCTGAGTTTATCCGTTCCGTCATGTCATTCACATATACCAAAAGCAGCACTGGTTCTAGGACCTGTGGAACCCCGCTCGTGACAGGCGCCCACTCTGACACCTCGTCACATATGATGACTCGTTGTTGCCTCCCTATCAAGTATTTTCTGATCCATTACAGTGCCCTGTCTGTTATGCATGCCTGATCCTCTAGCTTTTGCACTAATCTCATGTGAGGAACTGCATCGAAGGCTTTCATGCAGTCCAAGAAAATGCAATCTAGCCACTCTTCTCTCTAGTGTCTTTCTCCCGTTATCTTGTCACAAAACTCCAGTAGGTTTATGATACATAATTTTCCTTCCCTGAATCCGTGCTGGTTGTCGTTTATAAGCTTTTATCGTTCTAGATGCTCCACTTGTCTCTTCCTGATAATATCCATGACTTTGCATACTATACACGTCAGTGACAATGGACTGTAGTTTAGTGCCTCTAGTGCCTTTAATGTCTTAAAATGGGAATTACATTTGCTATCTTCCAAACATCAGGTAGTTGCCCAGTTTTAATGGATATGTTGAAAATTGTTGTTAGTGGCACACATAGCATCTTTGCTCCCTCTGTTAGGACCCAAGTTGTTGTCTGGTCCCAGCGCCTTTGAGGTATCAAGTTCATTTAGCAGCTTCTTCACCTCCTCCTAGGCTGTCTGTATTTCATCCAGCATTTGTTGGTATATCCCTTGTTAGTGTACCCCCTTATTCTGACTTACTTGAGTCCTTTCTGTCTCCACTGTAAATTTCTCCTTAATTAAATCTCATGTTGAGCTCCTCACATACTTCTTGGGAGCATGAGGAGGAAGACTGTTTTCTTCCTCCTGATGTGGCTATACAACAGCTTCGGGCCAGACTTGACTTCTGATGCTATGTCATTTTTGTACTGTCGCTGGGCGTCCCTCCTTATCTGTGCATATTCGTTTCTGGCTCCTTGACTAATATCTTTATTTTCCTGGGTCCTTTGTCTTCTGTACATTTTCCATTCTCTAGCGTACTTAGTTTTTGCCTCCCTACACCTTTGGGTAAACCAAGGGCTCGTTCTGGTCTTCCCATTATTTCTGTTGCCCTTAGGAGCAAACCTCTCCTCTGCCTCCTTGTATTGTGTTGTCACATAGTCATCTCATTTACTGTTTTTGCTTCCAATTCTCTTCCCCACTGAACCTCCTGCAGGAAGTTCCTCTTGCCCGTTTAGGCCCCCTTTTTATAGTTTGGCTTTTCCCGTCCTACTCCTGTTACCCTATCCACTCTTAACTCTACTGTGCATTCAAAGCTGCGGACCACGTGATCTTTAGCTCTAATGATGTGATGTCCTCGATGTCCACGCTTCTCAGGGTGAATATGAGGTTCAATCTTGCTGGTTCATCCTCACCTCTCTCTCTCTGGTTGTGTCATTAACATGCTGATGCATGAGCTTTTCCAGTACCACATCCATCATCTTGGCTCTCTAGGTTTTCCCAATCAATCGCCATGTGACTGAAATCACCCGCCATGTGACTGAAATCACCCATAACTAGTAACTTTGCTCTACCCTTGTTAGCTCTTCTGGGTACCTTGCTCTGTTGTTATTTTCATGTTCTTCTCTTAGCCTCCTGTAGTTCTGTGGTAGGTTGTACATCACTGCAATGACTTAAGTCCCGCAAACTGAATTGTACCTACTACGTAGTCCCTTTTGTCTCTTTCGTCCATTCCTCCCATTTCTTCAAATCCCCATCGGTTTTCAATGAGCGGTGCAACTCCTGCTTCCCCTCTGCTCCCTCTGTCTTTCCTTAGGATCTCATATCCGGGTGGAAAGATTGTGTCTGTTTTCATCCCGATGAGTTTCGATTCTGTGAATACTATGATGTTTGGGGACGTCATAGCATTCACAGAAACGAGTGGAGTTTAGGCGGAGTTTGTGATGAGGGGATGGGGCAGTGGGTACGGTGTGTGAGTTTTGGGTTAGATTGTTTGGTTGTATTGGGGTTGTCATGTTTGAGGTCCTTCTGTAGGTGGTTCTGAGGGAGGTTGCATTTGTTCTTCCTCCTGAGTCTCGGTTCTCCTGCTTATCTCCGTCTTTGCCTCTGTTTCCTCCTTGCATCTTTATACCCTCTCTTTCAGTTTCTGCCTTCTTGTGCTCTGTCAAGGTCGAGGTACACACTCTGGTATGTTGGTATGTCCCTTAGTCATGCTTTCTCCTGCAGGATACTGTTTCGAGCCTATTCTGCCTTGAAAATGACTTTGTCTGGTTTTTTTCTTCTTGCTAACCCCCTATTCTCAGAAAATTTGTCAAATGGATCATGTCATCCTTTCCTGTTGCTTTCATGATACTCTCAATCATGCACACGTGCGCGTGTGTGTGTGCGCAATATAATCACAGACAAGCGTTTTTAATAATGCGTGACAAGCCACAAGGGGATGGAAAGCTTCAGCTCAAGGTCTTTCTCATTTCTCCTTGCATCATCAGGAGTTATGCAATGTTGCAAGAGTAGGGGCAGTGGGAATGAGAAGATTTCTCAGAGTAAGGTAGCGTGGTGATGGTAACTAGATCCTCTCAGAAATGGTTTTTACAATGCCCCATGCAATCTTTGACCTCTTTCATACACTGGACAGACTGGTAAACCACTGGAATCCAAATTAGTCTACCATTACTCAATCAGGACAGGCCAGGAGACGAATGTTTTCTTCAACCATGTCAGTTCGTGAAATCACCCACCGGGGTGGGCAGCTGCTCAGATCATTGTACACAAGAGTTCCATCATGGAAAGAAACATAATTGAATCCTCTCTTTTGAAACATGATAGGAATGCCTTATATAATTCAGGTTATAGGTTGTACAAATTCGACAGTTATTTAACAGGGTATATTGTGCACAACCTTAAGCCACAGGATTGCTCCTTATGCCACGGGGCTTCGTGAGGATTTGGTGATGTTAGACCAGTGTTCACCACACCTATCGTACACTTTTCACCAGCCATGGAGTGCGTCCTGCCCGTCGGTATATTATATAACCAATAGTAGTGCGGCCATTTAGGTACAGCTGCATAAAGGTACTGAATAGGCACAAGTACACAAGGTTAAGTGACTGCAGTCAGTGATTGCAATATGATGATTGCAGCTAGCATGTGGGATTGCTACTCAACATGATTAGGCTGTTAGGTGGTGCTAAGGAATAATCGGAAAATTTATAAATAGTCTGATGATTACGTTATAAAGAAAATTCAGAATACTGAAGGAGATTCACAAATAACCAAGGAACATTTATAATAATTGATACCAAGGATATCAGAAGGCAGTATTTAGGAATGTATGAAGAGATTCTTCTGAGTACTCCCTAGAACCTTCTAGAACTTTTCTGAACGTAGAGTAGTTCTAGCTGATAAATGAGGGCATTCGGATCATTTATTAATTAAAAGGTTTAAATTTAATTTCATTGTTTTGTATATGTATTGTCCACTAGGGCAACATAATCTGTTATGTCACGTGACTTGTTGATGGCGACTAGACGTTGCTTAGGGCTGGCTATTAATTTCCTATTATTCTATTTCCTGATTTCTGTAAACCTCGGAGGTCTTGTCAACCTACCGTACCCCAAATGAGAAGTTGAGGGGACGAGATACGTGGATGACAAACGATGCCTGTGTCCTGACTATTTCTGAGAGGAACTTGCTAGTGTCACCACGCTACCTTACACTGAGAAATCTTGCTCTCATTCTACATGTTGCTACTCTTGCAACATTGCACTGCTCTTGATGACGCACGGAGAAGTGTGAAACATCTTGAGTTGAAGATTTCCATCCCCCGTGCCTTGAATGGAGACGAATGGTTTTCGGGACCTGACGAACTGTTGGAGTGAGAGCAGGGCAATATTTTGTGAAGGGATTCAGAATAACCGGTTAGCCGGACTTGAGTCCTGGAGGTGGGAAGTATAATGCATGCATTTTAAGGGGGGGGGGAGGGGGAGAGGTTGGGATATTGTCAGTTTGGAGGGACATCTAAATTGCCATATTTGGGCACCTCTGCAAAGATAGTGGTGAAAATGTTGAATAATGGTGAAAAAGATTCTTTCTTTTTTAGGTTACCCTGCCTGGGTGGGAGACGGCCGACGTGTTGAATATTATCCACATGCACTGTGCTGCTTACTTATGGCTTAACTTTTGCATTTTAGGCTTGTTCTCGGGGGCGATAATGATGAGTGGAGCAGGAAACTGCTTGTGGTCCGTGGCCGACTACCCCGAGTATGCCGCATATGACCTGGCCAGAGACCTGGACTGCACTACCAGGTCCTCCTTTGCACTCAAGGAATGTCTCCACCACAAGACAGCTCAAGAGATTATTCTCGCCCAGACCAACAGACATGTAAGTTTCCCATCAAATTTAGATTTAAGTAATATATATACAAATTTGTAATTGTTAAGCTTAGTATAGGCTACAAAAATACTAAAAAATGAGTTATGAACATAACTTTATTTAATATTTCTAAAAACTGCAAAATAATATTTTTTTACAGTTAGGTTTCCCCTTTAACATGTTTCATATTTTTTTTCCTTTCTCTAACTTTTCCTTTATATTTTTCTCATAACTCGTAAAAGCCTCGTCCAAGTGACCTCCCATTTTTGACACTTGTTCACGTTCACTAGGACCAGATGTTTTAAACAACTGGCATGTGCAGGTGTTGGTCAGATTTCTGGAAGAATTAACATACGCAGGAAGTTATCCAAGTCATTCTGGAATAACTTTGGAAACTCTCAGTAGTTCCTGGTAACACCGAGAGTCAACCTCAGGTGTGTAGACGCAGGTTTAACTAGTCTGAAAATTTTATTCTCGTTAAATGAACCCAAATAGTGGTTTAGAAAGACACGTAAGCAAACACTATAACATATTTATTAGAAAACGTTTCGGTCCTGGAACCTTGATCACTTCTAACATACAGAGGTAGAAAGACATTATATATATATAATGTCTTTCTACCTCTGTATGTTAGAAGTGATCAAGGTTCCAGGACCGAAACGTTTTCTAATAAATATGTTATAGTGTTTGCTTACGTGTCTTTCTAAATCAACTTGTCGGTATTTATTACCAAGGTTTATACCAACCCAAATAGTACATATGAAGCTACGTTTATGGTGTAAAAAAAATAGAATCGTTGGATTCCTTACCATGACTTCAGAACGACTCATCGTCTACAAAATACTAATGATGTATTTTGTAAGATAGGTAACACCCCATATGTTATGTCTAAATAGGTGCAAATTTGAAATGTTACTGAATTTAAAGAATAAAATGGAATCTTTGGAAATCAGATCAGTTACTGGAGAATGCCTTTTTTGATCGGCTTTAAACTTTCGCTTTGAGTGGTGTAAATTTCATTTAGGCAATCTTATTAAACATTAAAATGGTATAAAATACCGACAGGTTGTTAGGTAAGACACATATGCAACAGTTAGGTATCTTTATTATGAAACGTTTCGCCTACACAGTAGGCTTCTTCAGTCGAGTACAGAAAAGTTGATAGAAGCAGAAGATACTTTAAGGGTGATGGACTGATTACATCGTCTTCAAGTATCTTCTGCTTCTATCAACTTTTCTGTACTCGACTGAAGAAGCCTACTGTGTAGGCGAAACGTTTCATAATAAACATACCTAACTGTTGCATATGTGTCTTACCTAACAACCTGTCGGTATTTTATACCATTTTAAGTTCCATCTGTCAGACACTGCAACACAAGGGTATCTTGGTACAGACCTGCAATCAACTTCGACAACTTCCACTAGCGAGAGCGGCTGAATTTGAGAGGGACCTGACCTCTGATCATCTGAGTTCTTACCTCTCCTAGTGCCCTACGTCTCACCTCTTGGCGCTATATAAGCTCCATCCTGTCACTTCATCTCCATATTGTTTCATACTATGGAACAATGCTCTTCTCCAGACTGAGGGACTGACCACCTCAAAACTTTAAGGCTGATGGACTGATTACATCGTCTTCAAGTATCTTCTGCTTCTATCAACTTTTCTGTACTCGACTGAAGAAGCCTACTGTGTAGGCGAAACGTTTCATAATAAAGATACCTAACTGTTGCATTTGTGTCTTACCTAACAATCTTATTAAACACGTTGTTCACGTGTAATAACCAAAAAAATAATTATTGTGATCGGCTTCAAACCCTAAACACTGGATGTATTTTTGTAATGAATAGGGGCTACTTGAGCGCCAATTTGCAATTTTTAAACGCATTTAATTAAATTATATTTTTACATAAATGTTAATGATTGTCAGAATGGTTTTACAAAGGCGTGTTTCTGCCTTGCGAATTTAGTGACTTTCTTCACTAAGGTATTTGAAGAGGTAGATCATGGTAATGAATATGAAATTGTTATATGGACTTTAGTAAAGTTTTTGACAGAGATTCGTATCGGAGACTGTTGAGGAAAGTAGAGGCACATGGAATAGGAGGGAATATTTTTCTTGGATAGAGACCAAGACAACAGTATGTAAATATTCGCAAGAAAACGAATAGAATTCTTGGCTACATATCAAGAAGAATGAATAACAAAAGTCTTCAGGTTGATTAAGCCTAATAGTTATGCTCCGCAGTCTTGGCCACCGCATTACTGAATGGACATAATTGCACTAGAAAATATACAGAGGATGACGAAGTTGATTCAGTGTATCAGAAATCTCTCCTTCGACGATAGACTGAGGAGCCCTGAATATACACTCTCTACATATGAATTAGTGGGGTATGATTGAGAAGTTACCAAGGTGGACGAATTTGAGAGGGTATGTAAAGAAGCAAATTTAAAGTGAACATAGGAAAGAGCAAGGTGATGTGGCTAACAAAATATGTAGGTAATGAGAGACTGGATATCAGATCGGAGAGAGGGAGTATTGAGGAAGTAAATGTGTTCATATATTTGGGAGTGAACTCGTCAGCACATGAGTCTATGAAAGATGAGGTGAACCACAGAACTGACGAAGGAAAAAAAGGTGAGTGATGCACTGAGGATTCTGTGAAGACAAAGAACGTTATCCATGGAAGCAAAGAGGGATATGTATAAGAGTACAGTAGTACCATCTCTTTTATATGGGTGGTGAATGTTACAACAAGAAGGCTAGAGGCAGTGGAGATGTTTTGTTTGAGGGCAATGTGTGATGTGAATATTATGCAGAGAATCCATAGTTTGGAGATTAGAAGGAGGCATGTGGTTACTAAAAGTATTTTCTAGAGCTGAAGAGGGGTTGTTGAGATGTTTCCGACATTTAGAAACACGCGTCTCACACTGCTCTAATTTTTTTTTCTCGTATTTGGGACAGGGAATATGAATATGGGATCGCACAGCGACGGAAATACATTTAGTTAATTTCATCGTTGATAAGTACAAAATGAATAGGCAAGATATATAATAAAGTTTGGTCACCATATTAAAAAAAGGGTTTGTAGATAAAGATTCACAGAACTGAGATAAGTTGATGACTGAAACACTTGTGCAACATTTCGATAGATGGGGTTGTAAGAGAAGTAAATGCGAGGGTCTTGGCAAGAGGCGTGGAGTTAAAAGATAAAGAAACACACATAAAGTGGGAGTTGTCACAGTTGCTCTTTGCTGATGACACTGTGCTCTTGGGAGATTCTGAAGAGAAGCTGCAGAGGTTGGTGGATGAATTTGGTAGGGTGTGCAAAAGAAGAAAAATAAAAGTGAATACAGGAAAGAGTAAGGTAATGAGGATAACAAAAAGATTAGGTGATGAAAGATTGGATATCAGATTGGAGGGAGAGATTATGGAGGAGGTGAATATATTCAGATATTTGGGAGTGGACGTGTCAGCGAATGGGTCTATGAAAGATGAGGTGAATCATAGAATTGATGAGGGGAAAAGGGTGAGTGGTGCACTTGGAGTCTGTGGAGACAAAGAACTTTGTCCTTGGATTCAAAGAGGGGAATGTATGAGAGTATAGTTTTACCAACGCTCTTATATGGGTGTGAAGCATGGGTGATGAATGTTGCAGCGAGGAGAAGGCTGGAGGCAGTGGAGATGTCATGTCTGAGGGCAATGTGTGGTGTGAATATAATGCAGAGAATTCGTAGTTTGGAAGTTAGGAGGAGGTGCGGGATTACCAAAACTGTTGTCCAGAGGGCTGAGGAAGGGTTGTTGAGGTGGTTCGGACATGTATAGAGAATGGAGCGAAACAGAGTGACTTCAAGAGTGTATCAGTCTGTAGTGGAAGGAAGGCGGGGTAGGGGTCGGCTTAGGAAAGGTTGGAGGGAGGGTGTAAAGGAGGTTTTGTGCGCGAGGGGCTTGGACTTCCAGCAGGCATGCGTGAGCGTGTTTGATAGGAGTGAATGGAGACAAATGGTTTTTAATACTTGACGTGCTGTTGGAGTGTGAGCAAAGTAACATTTATGAAGGGGTTCAGGGAAACCGGCAGGCAGGACTTGAGTCCTGGAGATGGGAAGTACAGTGCCTGCACTCTGAAGGAGGGGTGTTAATGTTGCAGTTTAAAAACTGTAGTGTAAAGCACCCTTCTGGCAAGACAGTGATGGAGTGAATGATGTTGAAAGTTTTTCTTTTTCGGCCACCCTGCCTTGGTGGGAATCGGCCAGTGTGATAATAAAAAAATAATATTGTGAAAACGTTTCGCCAACAATTGACTTCCTCAGTCCGGTACAAAGACGAATGGTGGAAGATGAGTCCATTGTTCTTGATCAAAGTAAAATCTTGTTCAAGGTACTTTGATCAAGACTGATAAACTGAACACATCGACTCAAGGCTGAGGGACTGATTACCTCAATCTCCTTTTCATCTTTCACCATTCATCTCTGTACCAAACTGAGGAAGCCACATGTTGGCGAAACGTTTCCACCCTAAAGAAAGGGTGTTGAAGCATTGTAAAGTGTCCAGCGAAGATGACATACAGACGAAAAAAAAAAAAAATAATAACAACCCAGTTTTAAAATGCTGAATTATTTATCTTTGCAAAGGTGGAAGTTAAGAAGTGACTTAATATAAATATTTATCATTATCAGAGGTCCTGGTAATCTTTATTCAGAAAGAATATATTAACATTGCCCATTTAGACATAACACTCAACAATGGCTTTATTTTTTTTTTTATTCTAGCGATTTTAGTCCTCCCCAAAAAATGAAATATTTTCTTTATATTGAAAACTGTCAGAAGAAGGAATTCAAAAAAAATATGCATATTATTTTAATAATAGGTTGTTTATATACATGGATTATATACACTCTTGTGTATATAATCCATTCGTTAACCATTTGCTTCATATAGGCTATAAAAAAATCGCTCCTTTATTTCCTTTGTATATGTTTATATGCATGTTTGTTTTGTAGAATTTTGAAAAAATAAATAAATTAAACCTGAAGATGATCTGTGTTTAGGTCAAACAAGATCACTATAATTTTGTCTCGTAACCGATGTAACCGGTTTAACCATCTTTGGCCGATGTACACTTAAGAAATATTTCTTTATACTTGTTGAGCCTATTTACTTGACAGTAATTAGGTACCTGGGTGTTAGCGGTCTGTTGTTGCAGTATCCTGGGTTGTTAGGAGTTGTGATATTCCCTAGATTTAGATATTAGCGCCGAGGTGTTTGTAAGCAAGCCTAGACCTGGCTAGTACATACAACAACAGTCAGTTTGTTTATATTGCAAGTTGGAGGTAAATCGCATAAAATATCGACACGATGGAAAAAGAGACTAATGCCGAATAATACGATCTTTTATTGACAACGTTTCGCCCATACAGTGGGCATCATTAAGGCACAAAACAGATTTGTTTTTAAATTGATCTTTAACTGACAACGTATCGCTCAATACAGGAGAAACGTTGCCAGTAGAGGATCGTATTATACTGCATCCGTGTCTCGTACATTGCAAGTTTCTCCGTAAATATCCTTTTTATAGTAAGTTATAGACTTACTCATGTTTTTAACTGTATTCTTACGACAGTCGCATTCGGTATTTACTTCTCTCCTAATAATGATGATTCAATCTTGCTACTTAATCTTGCTCACTAATACCGATTCTAATGTTTGACAAAGACATATCAAAGTCATATACAACGTTTTCCTCAATATAATCCCTTCGTCTAATTTTTCAACTTCATTATTTAGGAATAATTCAATGTGTCATAGAATCTGTAAGAATTGTACGTTGATTTCTTTATGACTTCTGTGTATCTAAATCTGGCTTCTCCAATAATCATGTTTTTAGAATCATTATATGAGTCAAGTACCTTCAATGATAACATTGAATTAGTTATGATGGAGTTAAACTCCTTCTCATAACGTGACTTTAATGCCATTAGGATGGTAAACGATTCAGTTTGTAATGCAGAAGCCCAGTTGTTAATTTTTATGCTATAATTCTTATCTAAGAAGGAGGCAACTAGAGCAGATGCAGCTCTACCAGTAGTCTTGATCAGACAGAGCAGTCTTGGAATTTTGATATAGCGATTCTTCAAAGTTTACCTGACCTATAGGCACAACCTACTTCAACTAACGAGTTTTTCCACTGGTGACTTTACCTACCACTGCTTCGTCTCATCTGTCTGAGGTACATAAGCCCCTTCTCTGTGCTTATGCTGTATTTTTATCAAGATTAATGGATTGAGTACCCGTACTCCAGGCTGTGTGTATCGTTCAAACTATCCTTACATTAGCAGGATGGTTGGGGATGCAACCAACTACAGCTCGGAGAGCATAATAAAAGAAAGGAGGAACACCGCATCGAACCTATTGACCCATACTATGCACGTCTTTTTCAAACCCAAACTCTCTAACAAAAAATATTTACCCAGCTGTTTTTCACATAACTCTAACAGTATGCTAATTGGAGAAGCCAAATATTGATATTAAAAAATCCAGGAAAAAATTAATGTACAGTTGTTACTGATTCCATCACATATTAAATTACTCCTTCATAAAAACGTTGATAAGTTAGCCAAATAAATACCCTGAAGGCAAATGCAGAATGTAAGTTTGGTATATATGTGTCTACAATTAGGAAAAATATTAAATAATAATAGTAAAGTAATTAATGAAACTGATTGTTATAAGAATACAGTTAAAAACCTGAATATATCTATCATCCACTATGAGAACATGAACTTAGATCAGTACGTTTATGGAGCATCTCGCAATGTGAACAGTTTAAATGATGCTGCAGCAGCCAAGCCAAGGCTTAGTTACAAGTATTTCTGACATTTTGGCGGACACACACACATGATCAAAGCAAGTGTAAAGTATGTTGAACACTATATACTTAAACAGTATAATAACCTGTGTGTTATGTCAATATATCTCAATAATGAAAATAAGATACCATTCATTTTAGACAAATTTCCTAAATTTGCTTGTAACAGATAAATCAACTGCAGATATATAAATTCAGATGTGTTCCTGTTAACCCTATTGGAGTTAAATTCCCAACCAACTATACTTTTCTGCGCCACCGTCCACAGATGGATATGGTGTGCACAATAAACTAGCCAGTTCGGCAGTAAAATCTAATCTAATCTCTCCAGAAACATTTTCCTTAATCTTTCCCCAGAATTGCGTTAGCACTCTACTAGGTAATGTCTGCAACCTAAACTCCTCGGAAAAAACCACGGCACGAGTGGGGATTGAACTCTCGAAAAGAGTGTGGTAAAACTCCAGGCCAGCGCGTAAACCACTACATTAACCTTGTGCAACATTAAAAGAAATAAAAATTTGAATTTGGAAGGTACTATTTTCAGTACTTTGCTTTGTATAATTTGTCAGTCTCTGTTCGAACACTCTTTTTACGCAAGAATGTTATGCGTTTTAAAAGGTCCGACGTCTTCGGCACTTTTCCATATAAATGTTCCTCCAAATAAGTCTTGTCTTCAGCATCTGCCAGGTCAAAAGGAAGTACAGTCACACTGTAGTCTACCAGCACTGTTGCTACCGTGTATGATTCACCATCTACATTTGGTAGTTTGTGTGAACTGGGTAATATACAGTTTCCAAACCATACCACGGGCGGGGATAGAACCCGCGATCAGAGAGTCTTAAAACTCCAGACCGTCGCGTTAGCCACTGGACCAGCTAGTTTTGAGACTCTCTGATCGCGGGTTCCTTCCCCGCCCGTGGTATGGTTTATTTGCAATCGTGTCATTACGATTTCGTGAGTCATACAGTTTCCAGTGTGGTCATGAATATGGTGACAATCTAACTGGTGACTGCACAAATGTTGGGAGGGTTAAGAGACTCATCACAGATTCTACTGTGGCTGAAGGCAGGCTGGTGACCCCACGTGGGCTAACAGACGTGCTGATGCATCCGTAGCTTTTAGTTTAGCAGAAAGCCAACTGATGTTACCAGAAACATTAATAGTGGAATGTTTTCCAGCACATTTTCCAAACCAAGAACAACATATGTCACAGTTTATTGGCCTATTATCATTATGTTGACAATTTTAACACCTGGGAAGAGGAGAACTGATACACTTCACTAGTTATCTCGTGTAAGTCTGATAACTAAATGTTTAGTGGGAGATGGCAAAAACTTAGGTCTTGTTTGCAAGTCTTTTGGGTCTAATTATATATATGTTCATTCTCTCTTAAGTAGGAAAGATTAACATTATGCTAACCCGTTTGTATAATGAATTAATTTCTGGTAGAGGGTGGAGCAGCTTGATGCCTCCATAATACATATACATTAAGCAGGTCTTCGATAGGGCTGGACTTAAAATGCTGAGGAAGGATACTCTATAAATTGAAAAGTTGAAAAAGAAAATACTGCGCTTTCACTTGTTTATCCAAAATATTATAATACAACAATATGAACAGATGCAGCGAGAACTAAGCATGAAAGTCATTAACATCTTACATTATATTATTTTTTTGTATCTTTTGGTTAGCGCTACGTGTTCTGGCCGATGATGTATCGACCAGTAGTGGACGGAGGCTTGAGAGATCTACCCTTCCTGCCGGAACCAGTGGATGTTCTTATGTCCCGCCCACCAGCCACCCCTGTACCGCTCCTGCTGGGGGGAGTTCCTGAAGAAGGCATCCTCTATGCTCTTAGTCAGTATTACCAAATTTTACTTTGTTTTTTATTTCTTTTTAAGTGTTTCTGAAACCTGTTTCATTACCATTTTGGTTAAATTATTATAATACATTAACATTGAGATACCACTGGAAGAGGAGTGTAAGTAGAGGATTTAAATTCATTTATGAATTTAATGAAAGTTAGTTTAATAATACAGACGAATGGATGGTTGGATACATGAAATATTTAACGATCACCTGCTGGTGTAAACATCATAACTGATACTTTCACTGTATACAGTATAGGAAATAATACTTGAATGATCTGACGAGTGAAAGTATTGTATATTGGATGGTCATATAGACGATATAATAAATGGAACATCAGAGATGAAATTAATAATAGAATATCAGTTTAATAAAATAGATGAAAGATTGGTTGGATTGACGATATGGAGAAAATAGACTGGATAATTAAAGAAGTGCACAAATATCTACAGCGGTAGTGATTTTCTCGGAGAGCAGAGGGGGGCCCAGCCAGCTGTTTGAGGAGGCTGCTAGATACACAGTGGAGTCCCTGTGGCCCAACGCCTCCACCACCTCCTCTGTCACTGACTCCATCATCTCCTTTTACTACACGCAACATGCCAGAGACGACATTAACACCCTGGCTGAGGAGATGAGCGAGGTGGGTAGTGCTGGTGCAGAGGCTTCTTAGGGTATTTAGATTTTCTTGGCTGTTGACTGAGCAATTCATCTGTTCACTATCAAGAATATTTTAAAATCCCCCCCCCCAAAAAAAAAAATTAGGATACACAAGCAGAGATATACACTGGTATCCACGACATGGATAAAAAAATGTTGTAGTGGTTTGGGGAATCATGAACTATATTGGCATTGGGGGTTCTTAAATAATACAGAGGGTCACTAAGTGTAGTGGCCTGTCATTAAATGAAGTAGGGGGGTCCTACAAAAATGAAGTAGGGGATCCTACAAAAATGAAGTAGGGGGTCCTACAAAAATGAAGTAGGGGGTCCTACAAAACTGAAGTAGGGGGGTCCTACAAAAATTAAGTAGGGGGGTCCTACAAAAATGAAGTAGGGGGGTCCTACAAAAATTCCAAGATGAGTCCGTGCATGATGTAGTGAGTCCTTATGTGATGTGTTGGGTCCAGTCAATAGGATGACTGTGATCCCTGACATTATAGAAATGAGAATTATTAGTGCCGGCCAGTCTAACATGCCTTTTGCACTCTTTAGGTCTGTCAGAAAGAGATTAGATTAGATTTTGCCACCGAAGTGGCTAGTTTATTGTGCACCCCATATCCATCCTGTAGACGGTAGCGCGAGAGCATATGGATACACAAAAGGCCTAGGAACTAGGCCCCAAAGGGTTAACAGGAATACATATGGATTTATATCTACATATCTATAGTTCACTTATCTGTTACAAGCAAATTTAGGAAATTTGCTTAGTATATCTGGTATCTTATTTTCATTAATAAGATATCTTGACATGTCACATAGGTTATTATACTGTCTGTCTCTGTATTCCTCAATAAGTGGACAATTAAGCACATAGTGTTCAAGAGAATGACCATATGCCTGATCACATAATTTACATTTAGTTTGATCATCATCTGTGTGTCTCCCAAACTGCCAGAAGTACTTGTAACCAAGCCTAAGCCTGGCCACTACAACATCAGTCAGTCTGTTCACATTGCAAGTTGCTCCATAAACATACTTATCTACGTTCATGTTATCATAGTGGGTTATAGATCTACTCAGGCTTCTAACTGCATTCCTATAACAATCATTTTCATTATTTACTTCTCTCCTAATATTATTCCTAATGCTAGACACAGTTATACCAAAGTTATATTCTACATTCTCCTTCTCGATACTCTTCTTGGCTAACATATCAACTTTATCATGAAGGAGTAATCCAATGTGTGATGGGATCCATAGCAATTGTACATTAATTCCTTTTTCCCTAATTTTTGAGTATCTATACCTGGCTTCCCCAATGAGCATGTTTCTCCTAAGTATTGGAGAGGACAAGAGGAGCAGGAAATGGAGTTGACTCCTGAAGCATCAGTAACAGGAAGAGAAGTACGAAGTAGATTACTACGAAGGGTGTTAGTTTGGCGTAAAGTAGGAACAGAGAGAGTTGTTAAGATTCGAGAGAATGGAGATATAGGGAAGACTAGCCTTCCGATTTCATAAACTCTGTCTTTTCTCATGCTAGACGGACTTTCTTCTCTCCCAAACTCTCTGCTCCCTCGAAAACTCCCGTTCTCTGCCTTCCGTATATTTCCAGTCTCTAAAAGTTTGGCAACTCTCTCCGTTCCTTAAATATCAAACTTAATTTCGTAGTTATCTAGTTCATGCCTCTCCTGCTATTGATGCCTCCAGAGTCTACTCAACTTCCTGCTGCTCCTCTTGTCCTCCCAAATACTTTATAGAAACTGGCCGCTCTCTTTCTGACAGACTTAAAGAGCACAAAAGATGTGTTAGACTTACTGACACAAATAATGTTCATTTTTGTCATGTTATAGATCATAGTCATCCTATTAACTGTTTCTCTCCAAACTGTCTATCATTCTAGCCTTCACAGATGCCGTCATGTTGAATTTAAGTGGGGGGGGGGGGAGAAAAACAGAGAAGAAATTGTGAAATTGTTTATACATTGTTTCTAAGTATTTTTTCCCAAAATGTATTTTTGTTTTTGTTGCTGTCATCATGAGGACATAATGCTATATTGTGTGTTTTTTACTCCAAAAATTACGATTTTTATTAATTTTTTTTAAATACACAATATGGCATCTTTTCTGATGATGCTATAGTAGTGTTGAGATTGTGAACCGCGCTGATGCTCTGGCAGTACGGATCTGACAACTACAGTTGCGTTACACAAATAACCCGCACATAGAAGAGAGGAGCTTACGACGACGTTTCGGTCCGACTTTTACAAAGTCACACTTTGTAAATGGTCCAAGTCGGACCGAAAAGTCGTCGTAAGCTCCTCTCTTCTATGTGCGGGTTATTTGTGTATCGTTCCAGTCACGGTATTGTGCCTTTTTTTCTTTTTTTGTTATTTACAGCTGCGTCCCTGACTTGTGGCGGGAGAAGCCCCGTAGAGTTCCATCGATAACGATGCACTGGACCCTTGAATTTCGTGATTTATCCGTTCCAGAGAGTCTGCCGAAATTCAAAATTCACGATTTTCAAAGCCATTTTCTCCATAAGAAATAATGCAAATCAAATTAATCCGTTCCATTTATCTGTCTCAGGAATTAGTTATTCGCCTTCGGATATACGTAACATACTTATTTGTTGCCAGAATATCATGATTTTTGCAAACATTATTGAGCAATGATGGTTTTACACGGGAGAGATCGACACCATGCCTAACCCTTCTAGGGTAGGGTAGGTGCCTGAGCCCGAGCCTTTAGCTCATAAGACTGTCATTCCCATTTGCCCCCTCGGGGCGGGGATGGCAGACCAGAGAGGCCTAGCTTGTGGCTAGGCCTGGGGACAGTTGGTCCCAAAGATGAGGAGGTACTTGTGCCTCCTCCCATGGGAGACTTAGGTCTCAGACACTCCCTAAAGAGGGAGCCAAGGCCGGGCCACCACTTGGAAAAGGCCCGGGCCGGGAGAATACCGGCTAATCTTTAATAATAAATAATAATACACGGTAGAAATGGGCATTTGCAATGGCCTTCACCGTTTTTTATTATCCCTCCCCAAAAAAAATCATTAAAAATTAAAAAGAAAAATTTGAATTTATTAAAAGATAAGATATTGACACATTGATGATAAACTGTTGTTACACTATTGTTTTATTCTTTATCTGTAACTTTATCTTTATCTTTATCTTTCATGTAAGATCAACTAGAACATTATCTATCAACTTAGTTTTACATTTGGCGAACATAAATAACACCCCATAAAATAGAAAATAATTATTCTATTCTCTTTAAATTTTAAAACAATCTTCGTGATAATTATGGCGTTCAAGTTTCAAAAACTATTTAAATCACAGCAAAATTTTCATTGAAATTTGATAAACAGAAAAACAAGACTGTATTTTTGCCTACAACACCCCCCTCTCCCCCCCCCGGCCATTGAAGCATCCCTTATACAGAACAACTTTCTTAATACGAATCTTTGTACTGGACTTGTCTCCTTACATTATCAGAAACTCCAAACTTCACAACACTCGTAACTTGACCTGATCTTTCCTTCTCCTTCTCTCCTCCCTACCTCTTCTCCTTCCCCATGTTTTCTTTGCCTTTCTTTTCTACTCCCTGGGAGTGTTTGTCCTTAATGTTTTTTTCCCCTGTGTTTGTGATTCCACCTTCGTGGGACGTTAGCTCTCCCACACTGCTCCTTTTCGTTGTCCTTAGACGTACTCCATTACTGCTATTACTTCGTTGTCCTTAGACGTACTCCATTACTGCTATTACTTCGTTGTCCTTAACGTACTCCATTACTTGCTATTACTTCGTTGTCCTTAGACGTACTCCATTACTGCTATTACTTCGTTGTCCTTAGACGTACTCCATTACTGCTATTACTTCATTGTCCTTAGACGTACTCCATTACTGCTATTACTTCGTTGTCCTTAGACGTACTCCATTACTGCTATTACTTCGTTGTCCTTAGACGTACTCCATTACTGCTATTACTTCGTTGTCCTTAGACGTACTCCATTACTGCTATTACTTCGTTGTCCTTAGACGTACTCCATTACTGCTATTACTTCGTTGTCCTTAGACGTACTCCATTACTGCTATTACTTCGTTGTCCTTAGACGTACTCCATTACTGCTATTACTTCGTTGTCCTTAGACGTACTCCATTACTGCTATTACTTCGTTGTCCTTAGACGTACTCCATTACTGCTATTACTTCGTTGTCCTTAGACGTACTCCATTACTGCTATTACTTCGTTGTCCTTAGACGTACTCCATTACTGCTATTACTACTACTACTGTTACTTTTGCCTCGCTACTCTCCACTCTCTGACTCTCGCCTCACAACAGCTACCTACTTTCTACTAAGACTTGAAAAAGAAAAGTGTTGAAATTAGCTTAAATTTAACCGAAGGGCCAAATTTTGGATTATTAACAGGTAGGTTGCAGGATTAAAATATGAAAGTTAAGACACATGTGCAACATCTATGCAACATATTGTCGGTATTTTATACCTTTCTTGCACAGGATTAAAATAACCATTTTTTTACTATTATTTTATAGCAGACTAATAAAACAGATTAGATTTCAGTTTATTTGATGACTGAAATAGGCCAGAAATAGGCCTAAAAATAAGTGTCTTTGGCCGAATTACCACAACAGTTAGCGTTCCAAGAAGCTATTTCTAGGTCTATGTCGGCCGATCTTAATAAATGGCCACTAATGCCGAAATCACAGCTGCAAGGCGACATGACTCATAAATCACAGCTAGAAGGCGACATAACTCATAAATCACAGCTGGAAGGCGACATAACCATAAATCACAGCTTCAAGGCGACAGACTCTAAATCACAGCTGCAAGGCGACATAACTCATAAATCACAGCTGCAAGGCGACATAACTCATAAATCACAGCTGCAAGGCGACATGACTCATAAATCACAGCTAGAAGGCGACATAACTCATAAATCACAGCTGGAAGGCGACATAACT